TCGTCGTCGATCATTCTATTTCAATATGCCACAACATTTGTCCACCGTAGGAATTAATACAATTTGTGTTTTTTTGATATTGTCCTTTATGTTGTGTTCTGCGAGCATTGAGTTGTTTTGTCTTAAAATGCACAATTGTCATCATGGAAGAAGTATACAAATAAATGCTACGTTAATTTTACAAGATATAGTTGAACTTGAATAATTACCCAATGTAGTGGTGATACATATAGGAACGATCTATACAATGCCGGTGATTTAATCTTCTTTTTTTTCTATTATAAGTGCAAAAACATCGATGTGTTCATTTGCAAACCAATCATTTGTCAGGATGTCATCATGACCAGAACGGCAAATTATTACATGTCCAACATCAATCATAATATCGTTCCTGCAGCGTTAACACCCAGTTTATAAGAGTATTACATAACAGAAAAAATGTGAACATATACTGACTTATCATTGTATCTCTTACAACACTGATCAATTATTTGTTGCATTTCAAGGGGTTTTTCTATTCTCCCAGGAAAATCGACAACTATTTCAGCCAGACAAGGCTACATAACAAAAAACTAATAATCTATAATGTCAACTTAAATGTTATGGTTCACATTATCAAGTTATTTTTTTCATAAAATACCTTTGTCATATAATCATCTGCATAAACAATATCAGTTATATTGTCTTGGAGATCTCCATTGTTATTGGTGATTGTATTACGAACAGGCGTATGGGGTTTCACAACTTTTGTTGTTGGTTGCTCTGATTGTTCAATATCTGCAAGTAATCTCTCACCCCTAACGATTGGAGTATCAGCGTCAGTTGATTTTTTAACATCCTTTTCAACTCAAATGCATTGTACGGGGAACTCAATTTTCTTTTTCTTCTGTTTTGTCGAGCCTTAACCCTCGGGATTATACTCCCAAGGGAGGATCGATATATTTATTTCTTCATTAAATTTTCGTTTAATTTCCTTATTTTTTTTCCAATTTATTAACTTCACTCTTTAGTCTGTAATCGTATTTTGTAAATCGGACCCTCTACTCTTAATTGATTTTTGAACTGCATAAATAATTTTCTCTTTAGTTCTTAGTAATGGAATAATTTCTTCAAAACCTTTATTGACTCGTGTACAACTTGGTTCCGGAGTGATGTCACCTGAAAAGAAAGGACCCACACCAAATGAAATTGGTGATTGTGATGTGAAATGAGTTTCATGGGTGATCTATCGAGGTTTTAACTGGATTGGGTTCTTCCTCAATTAAAGGAGCGAGCACGACATGCTCTTCATTTTTCAAATTCAAAAAAGAAATGTAAACCTACAATGGTCCATAATTACACTAACAAATGAACTGAATTTTCTAAAAAGAAAAAAAAATTATCTAATGAGAGTAAAACCTGCAAAGTGTTGTTTCTTAAAAGGTTGATGTATCAAGGATGAGCTCCAGTTCACATTTGTTGCCCACCTTAACATGCAAGGTCTGGCTTCAGGTACAGACGCACATAAAATCGGAGCTGTGCAAAAGTTAAATCATAATCTACTTTGACTTAAAAAAAGAAAATTTAAATGATACAAACATCACATTAACTGTGAGCAGAAAAACAAAATCATTGATATATCCAAATGATTGATTCCATCTTAATTTTGTGATGACGGCATTCACTTGGTCAATAAGAAATTCATAGACGGCTGCAGACCAAATAAAAGAAGAAAAAAAATGTACATTCTCAGCAAAAGGGTAAATTCTTTTGGGCACACTAAAGTTGCTCGAAGGAAAAAATAAGCTTGTTAGCAAAAACTTTAAATACAGTTCATCAAAGGGCTTAGAATACTCCTGAATGAAACCTTAACTAGGTCATTCTTTGTCTGTATTGCGGATACACCATATGAGGGAGTTTTTTGCTAGTGGACTGGTTCTTTTTTGTTGGGCATGTTTATCAGTAAAACAACTTTGTCGGAGTTTAAACTTAATTCATTCTCGCCCATTCTGAATACCATCTGTTAAACAGCTCAATAATTCAGGGCGTGTAGTGTTAGGAAATTATCTTGTGGATGTGGAGACAGATGAAAAAATTGAAGCACATTCAAATCTTTCAGGGTATTCACAATTTCCTCAGGTATGGTATGTTTGACCAAATCAAGAACAAATCTTACTTAAGATGGTTGTCACTTACAATTGAACATCCTTGGGGTCAAAACTCTACAAAAGAAGACAATGCAAAAGGACATTTTGTGAATGCCAAATGTGTACATAATAAAACCACTTCAGTACCTCAACATCAACTACCAGCAAAATAAACATCAATACCAATTGCAAACTAATACAAAAATAACAAAAAAAAAATAACACCAAAATATGTCCATAATAACACCAAAATATGTCCTTAAGGATACAACGTATTTATCATAATAACATTTAAATATGTCCATAATAACACCAAAATATGCTCAGAATAACATCAAAAGTTGTCCTTAATAACACAAAAATATGCTCACAATAACAATAAAATATATCCATAATAATACCAGAATATGTTTTTACTAAGGATACAACGTAGATATCACAATAACATCGAACTATGTCCATAATAACACTAAAATAGCTCCAAAATAACATCAAAATATTTTCATAATAACATCAAAATGTCTATTATAACATCAAAATATTTCAAAATAAAATCAAAATATGTTCATAGTAACACCAAAAAATATTTATAATAACACCAGAAAATGTCTATAATAACACCAAAATTTTGTCCAGAATAACACCAAAATATGTCCATAATAACACCAAAATATTTCAAGAATAACACCAAAATTTGTTCAGAATGACATTAAAATATGTCGATAATAACATCAAAATATGTGCTAACCAAAATATTTCATGTCATGATTTCTCGATAAATTTTATACTTGATGTCGACTACCTGGGGTTTGGGACCCGACAATGACAGTGTTAATAAGCATATGAATCCTAAAATAAAAATTTACAAGTCTAAATCACCTAGTCTGATCCTCATTTTGTTAAGGAAAGGAATCGACAATAATTATATCCTAAAAGTCTAAAATAATAAAAAATAAATGTCACACTTTAAATATAAATGTTTTAAATGCTTACTACATCAATGATGGTCATGTTGATCTAAGATTTCAATTAGAGGGGTCAAACTTTTAAATTAGGATTTTCAAAATAATCAATTGAAATTCAAATTAAAAGTCAATCATTTAAAACATGAAAGCAAAATCAATCCGCTTTCTGTAATAGTTTGTCAAGAATGACAAATTTCTGATTGATTTCAGCTCATAAAGATCGAATGTCACATCAAATGCATATTTATATTCATAATCAAATTAATTGCATATTAGTAAGAACGTGGCTTGAGTTTTCTGTCCGCGTGATTCTGCCGTCAAAACAACACCTCAAAATAGCAGTTCCTCTAACTGAGTGGTTGCTCTTATATTACAGTCACAATCACATCTCGTATGTTCCCAAATAGTTTTTTGCAATTTTAGTTGTGAATCATAAGGGTACAATTGATTGACACAATGTGTAGGCTCAGGAAGTCAATGTATGGCTTGAAGTAGTTTCCTCGAGTCTGGTTTGACAAGTTTAGAAAGACTATGGTAGGCATTAGATACCAATAGATTAATCATATGGTGTTCATTTGACACATGAGGGTCACACCACTAAACTTATTGTATATATTGATACATCATTGTCACCAGTGATGATGAGACATATTGCCCAACTAAATGTAAGATTGAGTAATGAATTTGAGGTGACGAATCTTGGACAGCTCACATACTTTCTTGGAATTGAGTTGGCTCGTGGACTTGAGTAGATGGTCTTGTTCGAGAGAAAACATGCACTAAATCTTCTCACGAAAACAAAAATGCTGACTGGTAAGCCAAGCTGAGTGCAGAGGCAGACCAGAGTATGGTGGGTCGTCTGATATATCTGTGTCACACTCGACCCAACATCTCTTTTGTAGTGAGCATGGTGAGCCGCTAAATGCATAATCCAAGAAAGGGTCATATAGATGTAGTGTATCAGATTCTAAGGTATCTGAAGAGTGCATCAGAGAATGGGTTGACCTTCAGGAAGAATGACATGTAGACATTGGGGGCTTTTGTGATGCTGTCTGGGCTAGTTGTGCATATGACAAAAGATTTAGCTTATGATACTGCATGTTCCTAGGTCTCTTGAAATAACAAAAAACAGTATGTAGTAACGAGGTCAACAACAGAGGCAACATACAGGGTCATGGACTTGAGAGTTGTCGAGATAATATGAGTGAGAGCCTTGTTGGTCAAGCTCGATGTGGACCAAGGAATTCAATGAAGTTGTGGTGCTACAAGTCCGCAATCAGCATTGCCAACAAGCTGGTGCAACACGATAGAACCAAACATGTGGAGATTGATAGATTCTTCGTCAAGGAAAAGTTGGATAACGGGCTATTGGAGCCAAGCCTAGTAGCCACTGGAGAGCAAGTGGTTGACTACGTCACCAAAGGACTCAGTTCATTAGACTTGTCTAGTTTATATGACAAGATGGGCTTAGTGGATATCTTTTACCCATCTTGAGGGGGAGTGTTGAGAATTGGACCTAATTTAGGGTCCTATTGGTACAAAGGAAATAATGAAGAAGTTTAGGGGTTTATTTGTAAAACATTATAATTCCCTATTTAAGCCCATGTTATAAATGTACAATGTAGGTTTGAGCAATTCTTTCTTCACTTATATGTCTAATCCCTAAACTTCCATATTTACATGAATAACACTCATCTTTATCACGTCATCAAAGGTATTATCATTGCGCCTTTTCATGGAGAGGTTTAGGATACCATATTATTATAAGTGTAAATATGAAACTTTGGGTGTTAGATTTGTAAATACATTATAATTATGATATTTACGTAAATTTTTCTATTTTTTGTTGCATAGCTGTTATAGTTGTTTTGTTTAATATACTTTTTTATATTTTTTTGTTTAATTGCAGGCAGTAAGCTCAATGCGCCTGCTCAATAAGCTAAAGCAACAGCAGAAATAGATTGGTTATTAGGCCGGTCTTTAATATTGTTGTTATTATTATTAGTGTGTTATTTGTTACGACCAAATGAATTTGAATTGAATTACTTTATTCTTAGGCTTGCTTGCTTTGTTTAAAAAACTAATGCAATGTAAAAATATTATCTATTTTGTAGGGGAAAATAAAAATAATGTACTGTATTTGAATTACAGGGGAGTTATTTGGCTCAATCTATAATAAATGTATGGCTTCATTTATTTATTTATTTATTGCTTTTTATTTATTGCTTAGTTTGAAGTGTTTGAAGTAAAAAAAAAAACAAGTAAAATACAAGGCCGGCAACTGGCGGGCAGACGGGCGGCCAATGTCGGCTTCGGGTGGATAGTTGTTAGGGGCAGATAGGCAATTGGGTGGTAGTGGTGATGACAAGCGAGCGTGTGGTGGTGGGCGATGATCGTGGACGGTGAGGAAAGTGGTGGTGTGGTGGTCGGAGACCATCATCTGTGGGTGGTGGACAACGACTGTTGGCAGGTGAACGATGGCTCTTGGTAGGTAGTGCTGGTGGCAACCAGTAGTGGTGGCAACTTGTGGCAGGCAGCGCCAGTGACAATCAGTAGTGATGGCAGCTGGAAATTCATAAAATTGTGTATTTAAAATTCAGCCAATCCAACAAATTTCAAATACATAAAAAATTGAACTAACAAATGAATTCTAAATGTATCGTTTTTTTATAATGCATTTGAAATTATTCTGACCAAACGTTTGGATTTGCAAAACTTAGGCTGCATTTGAAATTATTTTGACCAAACGTCTGGGTTTGCAAAACTTAGGTAAAAAGAGTGCATTGCACTCTTTGCAATCAGCCAAACAACCCTCTAGTCAAATATTTTTGGAATCTTCTCAACAATATATTTATTTCAATTTATGAACACTTAAAATTCATATCATCCCTCTGTTCACTACAAAGCTTCACAAACATAACAATACTACCTATTTGCAACATAATTTAACCTTTGTAAAACACCCAAAATCATTACAAATATAACAGTTCACAAGTTGTCCATCTTAAAAACCATTGTCCTAAATGAATGTTGTGACAGATTGTTTATGATGGATGTTGTCCACCGCTAAGAACATTTGCGATGATACACCCTCAAGTTCTTTGCAAATTTCCGTGCAAAATAATCTGCAAACTGTTTTCTAGTGGTGAAATTAGCTTTCCAAAAGCTCAAAACAAATATAAAAAAGTAAGAGAACTCAAATACTTTTGCAACTTGCAAAACTTACTTTGAATATCTGTATGGATCTCTTCTTTCTCAATCAAAAAACACTATTTTTCTCTACATCAATATCCTTGCCCTCGATTTTTTTTTTCTTTTCTTTTCACACTGTGACAGCATTCTCATTGATTGGATGACTTGAAATAGGCAATCGGCAACTAGCTTCCTTACTAGTTAAACAATTTCAATAACTGTAGCAACTATCCTCTTAAACAGTTATCAAACTGAATCTGAATTAAAAGTTGGATGAAAGTTGAGAATCTTGGTAATATGATTCAGTATTCAGACCTCATATTCACTGTGTCGATGAAGGTAATGGACTTTGACGGATCGAAGACACTCTTCTGAGAAACATTGCGTACAAAATTTCATTCCACGCATCAGGAACTCCGGGCAAACACCAGTGGCTGCAGTCCTCTCTGCTATCAGTTGTGACGCTTGCAGGGCTGAGGTGATACAGTGATTGATGGCCATCCTTCCTTAATGCTGTCATGTAAGTTATGTTTAAGAGCTCCAAAACTGAAAGTGAGGAAGCAGAAGAACTGTCTGAGGATGAGCTTGTGAAAGGTTCGAGGAAAGGAAACCATGAGTTGGATGACAGTTGAGAATGGTTGGATTCAGGGAGTATTTCTTGATGGCATTTTCCTCCACTTTTCCAGTCACCATTTCTACACAAGTAAGAAGCTGATACTTCAGTTATCTAAATAAAGAGCTTTTAAAATTAGGGATGAAGGTATGAAACAATATGCGATTCAGAAAATAGTTTGGACTTAACTACCATCTTTTTCCTTCAAAAGAAAAATCAAAACGCTTGCTTACAATGAATCCAGAAAATAGTTTGCTGTTTAACTCTTTCCATCATTGGAGAATGAAGTAGAGGCAGAGCAGATTATGAACAGAATCACATAGTTGATGAGATTACTTCAAAAGGAAAAAAGCTAAACTATAAACAGCTGTAGCAGCAATCTATGTTGAAGAAGTAAGGAACCTGAAGTGGACAGGAGAATATGTGCGGAAGAAGACATGAGTCTTGGTTGTATTAACTTCTTTCTGGACCCATTTAAACACCGTGTTCATTGATCTCAGATATGCAGTTTCCACACTCATATACTTCTTCACCTCCGATCCTTCTTGAAAAAAACGCCCCCTTTGGAAGGAAGGATTGCATATACCCCTTTGAAAAAAAACGCCCCCTTCTTGGGAGATGCATATACCCCTTTGAAAAAACGCCCCCTTCTTGGGTGAAAAAAAAAAAAAGAAAAAAAGAAAGAGAAATCAAAAGAATTACCCTCCGAGAGTCTTCTCATGATTCCACCAGTGGCCAGCATTCAAAACCAGCACATCTGCATCCCTCCATCTGGAGGAGTATTGGTCCATAGCATCCAGTTTTACAGTGCTCTTTATCTGTTTTGACACACCTCGTGGGGGCCTCCCATATCGAACCAAGAAAGGAGACCTGTAGTACTCCAAAGTACAGTTATAGTCCTTAAACTTGAACACCAAGAATCCTTTATGTTTACTAATCGGGCTTCCATTAACTTCATAGATTGAGCCCCTGTCAACTATGGCCGAATACAACATGCAGAAGAGAGACTCCCATTGGTTCCTCCCAATGGAATCCCCTGCAAAAACTACCCTCCTATTCCTTATCCTCTCGAGCATCTTCTTCGCATCAAAACTTGAAGAAAACAGAGGAGCAAAATTGTTATTTGTTTGATCAGTATTCTTTGAGGAAATCAGAAAACTAAAACATAGTAAAACGTATTTCACAATCAGTTAACCTTGGGAGAGTGCAGCGTTTAGGCTTCCATCGCCATTTGGTATAGAATCTGTCGGGCCTGCCGTTCTCGGTGCAGCGGAAACCCTCGTCCAGAAAGGGGCAGTCTTTGGACTGATAAAGCGGGTAGCTTTCGTCCCAAATCCACTCCCCATCAAAGAAATCACATTCATCTCCTCCACCTTCAAACCTCTCCTCCACCGGCCAACTCCCAACTCCGCCGCGATCTACTCCGGGGACTAGTAGGTTGACTCCGTCGATGAGCACAGCGTGGTAGCAGAACCAGCGTGTTATGAAGACGAAGAGGAAGACGGCAATGGATGCCAGTATGAGAAGAGGTAGCGCTCGCTCCATCTAGTATTTCGTTTATGTATTTACCAGGCTACACCAATTACATTATGTCTCAATTAATCCTCCCTTCTAATGAATAACAACCTGTTCCGTTGAGGGCTCCCATTTCTTGTTGAAATCGCCCATATGAAGTCAACATGCAATACGCGATACACGACACGAATGGTGGAAATCGTGGCGCCTGCACGACTTGGTTTGGCGGGTACCGAACACAACGGTTTATATATATATATATATATATAAATCTTTCATGCTATGAAGGGATATGACAAGAATGAATGAAAACATTGATGAATTAGGCATCTGATTATATTCTTGTGAAATATTTGCTATCATTTTAACATTTTTTTTTATAAGAAAATAAATAAGCGAACATAATTCAATCTTGATAGAGAGTGATTTATTTTAAAAATTAAGTAATTTTTATTGTTGAAAATTTTAATATATTATTATTCAAAGGTATTTTAACGTCATATTCTAATAAAAAGACTTGTCGCAATTAAGAATAAAAGATAATTGGATGAGTTTTAATAATATGAATGATTTCTTCTCCATTGATTTTTTTTCGACAAAGTATTTGGCATCATTTTAATAATATAGTAAATAAAAATAAATAAATAGTCAGGATTTAATTTTGCAGTGTAACATAAATATGTTATACTATTACTTAAAAAAATGAACACAGGTCTGATTTATAAATAGTTCATTGTTCATTGTAATACCAGCTTTTGCATCATATGCTTTTGATTAATGAAATTTCTTAGTATATTCCCCTCCATTTTTAAGGTTAGTAGGGGTATGTATGTAAATCTTCCAAAGAAATTATATTCGGATATTAGTCTTAATCTATGCTCACGTTTATGGCGCGAGAAGAGAAAATGGAAGCTCAAAAAATTGGAAAAGCCCAACATCACGCATCTAAGCCCGTCAGGCCCACTTCCATCTAATAGATGAGGCCCGCCATCCTGAGAGGTGTTGTTGTGGGTTACCTGCTGCGGGTCTACATCTAAATTCTTAATGTCCCCCACCCCCTCCCTCACCCTCCTCTCTCTCTCGCTATCATCGCGTCAAAGGAAACCCTAAATTTATTTTCTCCCTTCTGAAATCTTACAAGCAGCTGCAGAACTTATAGTAAGATGATGTCTTGGGAATCCACCTTTCTATGGCATGCCGAATATTTTTTGTTTTTCTGTTGGTTGACACAAACTCCTCGTCGAGCCCTTATCCCTGCTTTTGAGTTCGAATACTTCCACTAGGAAGCTATTGTTATATTTCCTCTTCCCAAGATGAAGCAAGCTTCATCTTTTCTGAGGTTTGTGGTCCGTTGTACTGCTAATTACTTATTTTCTTAAATTAGATCAGTTTTGATTGGGTGATGGAAAAGTGCTCTGTTTTTTCTTACTTGCTGCATTTATGCCACTTGAAATGTTAAATGAGTGTGGTATTGCAGCAACAACAAAGTTACAGCTCACTTGAAATGTTATTCAACTGTTCTAAAAAAGAACCAAATGGTTAATTCGGCCAAACCATGGAATTTATGGTGCATGTTTGAGAGTCAAACAACCTGTGTACCTATTATATTATTTAGCGTTAACAATTTCTTCAACCAAGTTTTTTTCTTTTCTGTTGGTCTGTTTTTTGCCCATGGATTTTACACACTGGATAACATCACAAATTGATGGTTGTCAGATGATTACTTACCATTTTACTTTTCTCCTATTTTAGCACATTATTTGAATACTCTTCTACTCCAGTTATTGATTGCACTTTCTTCTGAACCAGGTGTATCAGTGGTGCATGATGAATAAAGCTATTTTACTTTGCTTTCGTGTAAATTTAGAGTGTCATTCACTATTTCTGGCATCTTCTTAATGGTTGAGTTCTCAGATGGAAGCAACTCTTGATGCGACCACTGAAATTATTAAGGTGAAGGAAGTTGAGATGAATAGAACAGTGATCCTGGATAATGGAGAATCTCAGGTGTTCGTATCATTATCGTTATCATATGCTTAAGAAAGTTCAGTGTTTCTTAATGCCTTTTGTAGCTTTTATCATTTTTTTTTCTTTTATTCTCTTATTTCAATAATTTTATTGCGTTCCCTTTCTTTTTCTCAGGAGATGCTACCTGATTCTTCTAAGAAAGATGAGATCAAGGAAATAATCACAGATGACAACAAGAAACCTAATGTTGGAATGACTTTCAAAACATATGATGATGTGTCTAATTTCTATAAGCAGTATGCTCTACGAGTAGGGTTTGGTGTGATCGTCAAGAAATCTTGGTTTTCAAAATCTGGCAAGTGCAGGAGAGTTCTAATGGGATGCTCTAGGGCAGGGAGCGGACGAGCAGATGCATGCTATCAAGCAAGGCTGACTGCCAAGACGAACTGTCAAGCCATGATAGGTGTAAGGAGGAGGGATGATGGTTTACTGCACATTGTGGAAGCTAATCTTGAGCATAATCATCCAGTCAGTCCTTCAACAGCACAATCCCTGAGATGTTACCAGAAGATGGCATGTGAGATAAATCTTATTCATTCTGCTGGAAATAGAAATTCTCACCTTGTTGAAAAGGGATTTGGAAATCCTGTTGAATTTGGGATGCTAAAGCTTGGGGAAGGGGATGATGCAGCGATTCATCAATTTTTTTCACGAATGCAGAATAGAAATCCAAATTTCTTTTACTCAGTGGATCTTGACCAATATGGTCGTTTGAGGAATCTATTTTGGGCTGATGCAAGGGCGAGGGCTGCATCATTGTATTTTTGTGATGTTGTATCATTTGATTCAACATACTTGGCTGTAAAGTATGATTTGCCCCTTGTTTCATTCATTGGGACTAATCACCATGGTCAAACGGTGTTGTTGGGTTGCGGTTTGCTTTCAAAGGAAACTGTGGAGACATATGTTTGGTTATTTAAGACTTGGTTAGCAAGCATTATGGGATGCCAGCCAAATGCTTTCATCTCAAATCACTGCAAGGCCATCCAATGTGCAGTTACAGAGGTGTTTCCAAGAATCAGGCATCGCCTCTGCTTATATAATATTATGAAAAAAATCCCTGAAAATTTGAAAGGATATGCAGAATTCATTGCGATAAGGAAGACACTGAAGAAGTTGGTATATGATTGTTTGAGGGTTGATGAGTTTGAAGAAAGATGGAATAAAATGATAAAGGAATTTGGACTTGAAGGAAATGAGTGGCTTAGTGCTTTGTATGAGAACCGACATTCATGGGTTCCGCTTTATCTCAAAGACACTTTTTGGGCAGGCATGTCTGTTTCTCAGCGTGGTGAGAGTTTAAGCTCATATTTTGATGGATTTGTGAATCCGAAGACAACAGTAAAGCAATTTCTTACTAAATATGAGACAATCATACAAAGCAAGTGCAAGAAGGAAGCACAAGCAGACTCTGAATCACTCTATAAGATACCTTTGATAGCATCAAAATTTTACATGGAAGAGCAGCTATCAAAATTGTACACTCTTAACATCTTCAAAAAATTCCAAGAAGAGTTAAAAGCCACCATGTATTGCCATGCTTCACCAATTAAGATAGAGCGGCCTATTTGTATCTTTCAGGTTAAAGAATGTTCATATATGGAAAATGGTAAGAGAACTGAGAGCAAGGACCATGAGGTCTGTTACAATTCAGAAGAACTTGCTGTGCATTGTGCATGTGGTTTTTTTCAGTTTAATGGAATTTTATGTCGGCATTCTTTGTCAGTTTTTAAGTTGCAACAAGTTTTTGAAATTCCATCTCAGTATGTCCTTGATCGCTGGAAAAAGGAGTTTAAGAAGTTGTATCGTTTGGCTCGTTACTCGGAGGATATAATACCTAGTACCCCGGGGGAGCGTTATTCATACTTGTCTGTGCGCCTACTTCAACTTGTAGAACTAGGATTTGTATCTGAAGAGAGGTTTCAACTTGCATTAAAACTAATTAGGGAGCTAGAAAAATCTCTTCTGGATGATCCAGAAGGCAGAGACAAGCAACCCCGGCTTCTCTCTTTTGAGACCCAGACCAGTCAGTGTGTTAATGACCTTTTGTCTTCACAATTTGCTATGTCAAAGGTTTGCAAGAACCCCACTTCTTTGCACACAAAACGAAGAGGTAGGCCGCCAAAAAAAACCAAGGAATCTAACGTAGATTTGTTAGTCCAAACAAATAAGGAGCAGGTGATTGACCAATATAATGCAGCAGTTCTATTTCATGTTATTTATTTATTTATTATTTATTTCAGATTTTTTTTTCATCTAATTATCAGGATTTTCTGAGATCATCTCTCATCGGGAGTGAGAACCTTGTATTTCAAGCAGCCTCAACTTCTTCACCTCTTGATGTACATCTTGGATCACAAAGAGGCAACGATTTAATGGTTTCATTCATCACTTTATTCTTGTAGTTGCCGTTTTAAACTCCGGTACCATTTACCAATTAACCTAGTCTGATGATTCCTGCTTACTGTTTTGAAATTCAGGAAGACGTTAACTCCAATGAGCTGTCATTTGGTACTCATTTTGGCGTGCATGATAACCCTCAGCATCACCTGGGAGGTCAAGTAAGACTGCAGGCAAGCAATTCAGTACATACATATATATTTTTTACTATTTTTGGTTCACATCAGGGATCAGCTTTAAGCTCATATCTTTTTGCTTGAGTTTTGGATGGTCTTACTGGACACTTACAGGAGGATGTACCTTGGTGTATGCTTTTTGCTGATGATATTCTTCTCGTGGATAAGATGAGAGGAAAAGCTCACGAAAAAACTTGAACTATGGAGATCTATCTTGGACTCTAAAGGCCTTCGTTTGAGTAGAACTAAAACTGAATACATGGAATGTAATCTTAGTAGTAGTAGCTCTAGTGACAAAAATGTAACTATGGGTGATTAAATTATTAAAATGTGTGAACGCTTTAGATATCTCAGGTCTATTGTTCAAAGTGATGGTGGTATTGATGGGGATGTTATTAGTAGAATTTAAGTTGGTTGGTTAAAGTGGAGGAATCCTTCAGGTCTATTGTGTGATAGAAAATTACTGCTTAGACTCAAAGGAAAATTTTATAAGATGGTGGTGAGACCTGCAATGCTCTTTGGCTCTGAATGTTGGCATTTAAAAAAGAAGCATAAAACTAAGTTAAGTGTTGCTGAGATGAGAATGATTAGGTGGATGAGTGGCTTTTTACACTTAGAAACGATGCGAAATGAATATATTCGTGATAGGGTTGGTGTAGCTCTAGTGATGGACAAAGTTAGAGAGAGTCGTCTTAAG